AACAATGTTACCGCATGATCTGTGCACGAAACTTTTTGAAACTTTTATTGTATACCACATACGCGTGACAATTGTCACGAGAGCCAATAGTATTACAGGAAATAGTATAAACCAATCGCATGCCACCATTTGTGCGACACGTATGTATAGTGGGCAAGGAAAGCAAATATTCCAAATCTTTGCTCAAAATGGAACTAAGTTGCGTAGGTTGCGATCCGCATTACTATAGTTAAATCTGGTTATTTTGAAAAAAAAATGATAACGCTATCGAGTTCCTGAGGGCACACGGTGTTTTGCCAAGAGCGATGTGTTGCCCACATTGCGATTTACTTTGCAAATATCGTGAAGATCGACATATGTGGTATTGTGGCAGATGGAAGAAAATAGCAAAGACAAAACGGTGTAAAAGTTGCGTTTTCTCGACCAGCGATTACAAGGGTACGTTTCTGCAGGGAACAGATTTGGAACCTTTTAAAGTAGTTTTGTTTGTGAATCACTGGCTACAAAAACATTGGGATCATGCTCAAATTATTGGATGAGTTTTTGTTCTGACGTAACCGAATATTGGTTACAAAATCAAAATTCTATAGGAGATGACGGTGTAATAGTTGAGATCGACGAGACGCTGCTCGTGCGCCGAAAGTATAACAGGGGCAGACAGTTGAGCCAGGTGTGGGTCTTTGGGGGTATTGAGCGTGAGAGTAAGAGGAAGTTCATTGTGCCTTTAGTAGGCATTGATCGCAGTGCAGACACGCTCATACCCCTCATTAAGAAGTATGTAAAGCCAGACAGTGTGATATACAGTGATGGATGGGCTGCCTACCGTAACCTACAACACCATGGTTACAAACATCTGAGTATTAATCCTTCTGAGAATTTTATAGACCCAGACAACCCACAGATACACACACAAAATATTGAGAGGTTGTGGAGGGACCTTAAAGAATGGGTCAAGCGGCCAGGTATTAGGGCCGTTTATATTTCGCAATACCTGGCCCGCTTTTTATTCATTAAAGAAAATGAACAATCACTCATACATTCCTTCTTTATACAAGCGGCAGAGCTTTACCCGCCGCAAGGCGGGAAAGAAAGGTCCATTGCGTCACCTGCCCCAGTTCCTCTAGAGGATAATTCGTCAGAGAGCGAATAAAATCAGGTAAGAGTTAACAATTACCTGATGAGTATGCATATGGTCCCCCAAGAAAAAAATATATATACCGTAAAACAAAACAAATACCATTTTTCTTCTGAAATAGTGATAATAAATTATTAATGTCTGAAATAGTAAGACAAGGACACCATGTGTAACAACCAATTACTGACAACTTAGCGATTATCCGGTGTTACAAACTGAGAAATTCTAGCCAATGAAAACTTCAGACAATGACGTCAGAGTTTTCTGACCAATCAAAAATCGTTTTTTCGGAAACTCCTGCCCTCGCCCTTGAAAAACGTCCAGTGTGTATCTGCCCGGTGTCCAAGTAAATGTACGTGTGAAAAAATGTAGAAGCCGGTTTGTTTGTTTTTAATTACGAAATACGCCTATCACTGGATCTATTAATACGCAGAGGACGACGTATTATGGTGAAGCGTACTAACGGAGACAGGACGATATAAGGATAGTAAAATTTAAGCAACGTTTAACGAGAACCGGCGAAATCTACTTGTTTATAGCACGAAGAACATTTCAATTAATAAGCAAAAACATGCAATAAAACAACATACTTCTAATAGGATAATAATACACGCACTATTATTACAAATTATTGGCTATTGCAACCGACCGCAGTTGCATGACTGTGCCGTCGCCGCGTGCGACGAAATCCAGCTAAATCTTTCGTAGTTCCGCGGGGCGAGCTACGCTGTGCGGTCTGAAGTAACGCCACGGCCTCCGAAGTATTTTTGGCTCAGGCAAAGGTCAATAATTTTCTTCTTACTTTTTAACACAAGTATAAGTACAGATGGGTTACCATATTTGACGACAATCATCACTAAAGTTTGCAAGCTCTGTTACTAAAATGTCTCTTACTTTTTTAAATTAACATTCACGGAGACTGCGTGTGCCGCTGCGGCACAGTCTCCGTGACTGTCAATAGCGCATTTTTTATTTATATATATATTTTTTTATTTTTTATTTTTTTTTTTTTTTGGGGGGGGGGTGCTTTGTATTTGTTAACGCAGTCCGTCAATAAAATACCGATGTTATTTGGGGAACTAAATAAAGCCTTATGCATAATTTTTTAAACGGTGATCACGAAACTTTCGAAACGCATTTTCCTAGTAAAAGTAGCTTTTGCCCAATCATGATTTGATTCATTTGTATTATGCGTCAATCAGGCAAAAAAATTATCCCGGATTTAACCGCAGAATTGTATACCGTAATTGCTTAGTTTAGTTTAGTCCTTTATTTACCACCCTGGCTAACTGCACAGGCGTGGGCAAGCTGTAGTACATTTGATGCATGGTCATAACATTACATAATGGTATTACACTTGGATATTATCCTATAACATTGTTATGATAATAAGTACTTTGTCAAATCAAGGAAGGGAAACAGTTGCACAGTCCTTTAGTTACTCATCTACCACACCGACATATAGCTTGGGCGTGGAAAAGTATTAAAACATTTGATAAGCAGTCATGTGATACTACATTCCAAATTTAGGATACAACATAATTATATCTTCTAAGACATCAGATGATATGAAATAGTTACATAGTTCTCCGTACCTCATGCTAGGTGGCCTGAAAGGCTGTAGCACATGGCACTCTGAGATATAGTGTACAAGTGTTCGCTTATATTCTTCATTACACAGTTTACACTTAGTTTCTTCGACATTACAAGCTGTACTGACCTGCCAATAAACTCTATATCCAAGCCTGATTCTTGCAGTCACAACATCACACTGTCTTGTTCTTGTTTTATATAAACCATAGATGAATGAATCTTGTCTAAACCGGTCATAGTGCTTTATGCTACAGCTTTCGGGGCGTTGAGAATTAATTAATTCAGTCAAGTCCTCTTTGAAGGAAGCTTTGATGATGTATAAAATCCTAGAAAGAGGTAACCCAAGATCTATATCCACACTTTGTTTGTCACATGCTGACTTTGCTAGGCGATCAGCATGATCATGCTTGGGGATTCCAACATGCGATGGGATCCACACAAAACGTATATTATGGCCTCGTTCTTTTGCACGATACACGTTTATCCTGATGTCATTTGCAATATTTCCCGCACCTTTGTCTAGAGTGTTCAGAGCCTGGAGAGCACTCTGTGAATCACAGAAAATGACCCCTGAGCCTTGATTCAATAGAAATTCGGTGGCCATGAGTATTCCTGCCAACTCAGTTTGTGAAGTGCTAGCCCAGTCATGAACCCTCCTACAATCCTGGTGCTGCAAAATGCTGTTTTTATATACAACAAAAGCGCATCCTGCTCTGATCCCAGATTGCAAGGATCCGTCGGTGTAGCATTCATATGCATTGGGCAGAGTTTCTAAATGCTCATTTATAATTGCAAGTGCATACTGCTTAAGTATAGCAGGGGGACACTGTCTTTTTTGGGGGCAGTCGTATAGTATACACTTAGGTCAGACATTTTCCACGGTGGTACAGAACGTCCATGTAGGGTCTTAGTTATGGGTATGTTTAGCTGAGCTAAGTGTTTACATGTTACTTGTACCCATGGATTTGATAATGAATTGGTGTTGTCATTCAAAGTTAGCTCTTCTATTCTGTGTTTTAGTTGTCTTTGGAACTCTGTACAGTGGAGGGGTTCTCTAATTGATTTGACACTAAATGTGGTATTTATATATAATATTCTTTCATAAAGAGAAGGCAAACTAAGTTCTGTTCTCATATTCACAATCCTTGTTGTTCTAGGGGCACCAAGAATGATCCTCATGGCTTCATTTTGTACACTTTCTAAACTAGTCAATTCTGATTCCTTGAACAATACTAGATGTAATGCATGGTAATCTATGACCGACCTTATGTATGACAAGTAAAAGAGTCTCGCAATATTGACATTAACACCATAGTCTTTGCCGACAAGCGTCCTAAGTGGCTTCAGCCGCTCCCATAACCTTTTCTTCAGGTTTCTGATGAGTTCTGAATCATTAACAATCACCCCGAGGTATCTGTATTGATGGCAGAGATCTAGCAATTGCATAGGTGAAACATGGCTCCTGCCCCCGTAGAGTTTCAACAACCCCGATTTTAAGTTGTTTTACTTTTTTTGTTCCGTTTTTCTGTGTAAATCATGATAATTCCTCCCCTAAATACAGTTCGAAGCCGAATCTTACACATTTTATCAACTTTGCCGTCGGGGCATACAAGTTGCGCTACTCATCAACGAGTCAAATGCGACGGAAAGCTACAGCATAACAGCGTTAAACTACGAGGGGAGAATACATTCCAAAAAAAATGGTTTCGAAAGGAGGAGGCTAGATGAAACTTGAAATTTACCCACGAATGGAAGATGAATTCTTCTGCCATATCAACAATACGCCTTTTTTTAGAGAAGGCCAAGTACAAGATCTTTTATCACGACACAACTTCAAAATTGTTTTGTTTCATCAAGTCTATGGCGAGTTTTGTCCTGTTGCTAATTTCTGTTCAATGAATATTCTTCTGTCAAACAAAGTCCCTGTCCCAGTTGCTTTGGCCAAGGTAAACATAAATGTTAGAATGGTTTGCGATTATATCTATAATTTATATATACTCGATTATATATATAAATTATTTTTAGCTAATAGGCCTTCTCAATTTTCATAGAATTTTCCGTCTTTTTCTAAACGTCATGGGTTGAAACCCCTTCTCTCTCCATAGGTCAGACTGACTTTTGAGGTACCAAAATCTATTTGTAAGTCTTCCCTAAATGGAGAAATTATACTTGTCACTGAACATGGGTGCAACTTCCTTTGAACAATTTTTTAACCTATTTTTGTACTTGATCTGAGACATAATGGTGGTCCTTCGTATTCGAGGATGACGCATCAGTGTTTGCGCTTGTGGGCTTGGAGCCCAAAGGTGGAAGCGCACACCTTGCCGCACAGATCGCAGGACACTGCAGTGCTGGGATCAGGCACTCTGGTCTTTCTAGCCTGTCTTTTTTCATCCAGCCTCTGCAGTCTGCAGTTTTCGAATATCTCTTTGCCCTCACGGATGGTTGCCCTCCACTTCGGTCGGTCCAGGGCCATGGCTTGCCACCCATCAATTGGGATGTTGTAGGACTTGAGGTTATATTTCAAAGAATCTTTGTAACGTTTCCTCTGCCCACCTCTGTGACGTTTCCCAGTTGAAAGCTCAGCATGGAACAGCTGTTTAGGAAGTCTGCTGTCGTCCATGCGGGTGACATGCCCTGACCAGCGAAGCTGTGACTGACTCAGCATGGCTTCAATGCCAGTGAGCCCAGCCCTCCGAAGAATCTCCTGATTGGGCTCACGGTCCTTCCAACTGACTCGGAGGATTTTGCGCAGGCAGCGCAGGTGAAATTGATCTAGTTTTTTGATATGCCGCCTGTAGCAAGTCCAAGTCTCACAGCCATAAAGGAGAGATGGTAGTACCACAGCCCTGTATACGCTCAGCTTGGTTTTGATTGAGATGCCCCGCTCTTGCCATATTCGTGTGTGAAGACGCCCGAATGCCCGGCTAGCTTGGGAGATGCGGCACAGAACCTCATCATCGAGGTTGGCTGCAGAATTTATACTGCTGCCTAGATATTTGAAGCTCTCCACATTTTTCAGGGTATTGCCATCCATAGTGATGTTGGGTGGAGGCCGAGTGGTGTTTGGTGCAAGCTGTCTCAGTACCTCGGTTTTCTTAATGCTGATTGTCAGCCCAAACATCTTTGCTGCAGTGGCAAAGCAGTCAGCAAGCTCTTGGAGATCTTCCTCAGAGTGAGCTGCAAGTGCGCAGTCATCTGCAAAGAGGAAGTCTCGCACAACTGCCTGACGCACTTTGCTATGAGCCTTCAGGCGACGGATGTTGAAGAAGTCGCCATCGGTACAATAGTGTACTGTGACTCCTGCACTAGTTTGGGCGAGTGCTGCAGAAAGCATCTGTGCAAAAAGAAGGCTGAAGAGAGTTGGGGCAAGCACACAACCTTGCTTTACGCCATTTGCCACCGGAAAAGGGTCAGAAGCATCACCATTTTCTATGACCCTGCCAAGCATGCCATCATGGAAGGAGCGGATAATCTCTACGAATCGAGGTGGGCAACCAAGCTTGCTAAGTATTGCCCAGAGTGCAGGACGGTTCACTGTATCGAATGCCTTCGTAAGGTCAATAAAGAGCAGGTGGAGGTCTTGGTGTTGCTCGACACATTTTTCTTGTATCTGTCTGATGGCAAAGACCATATCCACAGTGCCTCTCTGCTTCCTGAAGCCGCATTGACTCTCTGACACCATATCATCCAGTATGTGCTTGGTGATCCGGTTCAGCAAAGTGCGGGCTAGTATTTTGCCTGCAATGCTGAGTAGGCTTATCCCGCGGTGGTTATCACAGGACGAGCGATCACCCTTGTTTTTGTACAAGTGGATGATGTTAGCATCCCTGAAGTCCTGAGGGAGCTTACCGTTTGCCCAGAACACTTGGAACAGCCTGGTCAGGTGGGTGATCAGAGCTTCACCGCCAGCTTTAAACACCTCAGCTGGTATTCCATCTGGACCAGGGGCCTTGCCTGTTTGCAGCTGTTTGACGGCTGCAACGGTCTCTGCAGTATTTGGTGGGGCATCAAGTTCTAGGATGATGGGACGCTGCTGAATGCCTTCCAGTGCTTCATCGGCCACTGCTGAGGTCTGGTTGAGGAGGGTACTGAAGTGAAGAGTCCATTGCTTCAATATGTCCTCTTTGTCAGTGAGGAGCATGCCATCCCAATTGCGAATGGGAGCCGTTTTGCACTGAACAGGGCCAAAGATGGATTTGAGCCCATCATAGAACTCCTTGGTCCGATTTTCGTTGGCATGATCCTGTACCTCAGCAGCTTTGTCTGCCCACCAGGCATTCTTCAGTTCCCTCGTGCAGCTTTGCACCTGCCTGCGAAGCTGCTTGAATTGGGCGTGCTTGGGAGCAGAATTCTTGTCACTCAGCCATGCAGCATGAGCAGAGCGCTTTGCCTCAATCAGAGTGAGGATGTCCTGGTTGTTTTGGTCAAACCAGTCTTGATGTTTGCACTTGTAGAAACCCAGGGTTGTTTCCGCAGCTGAGAATACTGCTTCCCTAAACTTGCGCCAGGCATGCTCAGGTGTGTCAGTGTCGACGGGCAGGGCGGGAAGTTGCTCGCACAACTGCTCCTGCAGCGTCTTTTGAACATTACTGCACTTGAGTTGTGATACATCAAGCTTCCTTTTAATGCAGCTTGGCTTCTTTTTTACTGATTTGTGTATTGTGAAGAGGGCTTTGCATCTTAGGAGGATATGGTCAGTCCAACAGTCTGCGCCTCTCAGTGCTCTGGTATCAAGAATGTCTCCAAGGTCCTGTTGTCTGGTAATAATATAGTCTAGCAAATGCCAATGCTTCGATCTTGGGTGCATCCAGGTGACCTTGTGTGCATCCTTGTGTTTGAAAACAGTGTTGGTGATCACCAAGTTTTCCTCTGCACAGAGGCTGAGCAGCAGCAGACCATTTGAGTTCTCCCTGCCATATCCATGTGAGCCCAACTCCCCAGGCCAGGCATCCTTGTTTCTGCCAACCCGGGCGTTAAAATCACCAAGCAGCAATAGCTTATCCCTGCTTGGTACACTGCGGATGACTTTGCGCAGGCTTGAGTAGAAAGCCTCCCTCTCCTCCATGGAATGAGTCATAGTGGGTGCGTAGACGCCGATGAGGGTCAGATGTGTCTTGCTTGCCAAGGGCAGGCGAAGGGTCATTATGCGATCTGAGATCCCTTTTGGAAGAGATGTGAGACATGAGGCTATGTCATTCCGTATGGCAAAACCTACACCAGAGACACGTGGTTCGGTCTCCATTTTGCCACTCCAGAAGAAAGTGTAACCTACTCCCATCTCTTTCACGCTGCCTGTGTCTGCCCTTCTGGTTTCACTGAGTGCGGCTATGGCAATGTTGTACCTGGCCAGCTCATGACCAACGTTAGTTATAATTCTTTTTATATAGCAACCTGTAATTACTTGCAGAAACATTCTAAAATATTCATTTTCTATCTACAGGTTCTACCAAGTCAGAGACAAAGCAAAACTGCAAAAATGTATCATGTTTGGGTGGCCATAAATGTTGAAAAAGGATGGATTCTAACTGCATGGCAGGTCTGGGATCAGTGTGTAGCCATGTTGCTGCACTATTGTTTAAACTTGAATCTGCAGCATATTATAAACTAAATGCTGAGGTTGCGTGCACCAGCAAGCTTTGTTCATGGAAGGCAACAAAAAAACATGTCCACCCAGCATCAATACAGAATATCAATTTTAAACGAGCCAAAAAGCATTCACTATCTTCCATTACTAAATCGTATCGTACTGGTGGACACTTTTGTTTCATGGATCCAAGTCAATGGCCAAACAAAATAATAAAAACTCAATTTCAGACCTTATATTCCAAAAATAAAACAGCTGCTGTTTTCTCAAGCATTAGTGTAAAAGATCTGTATGACAGTGCTCTGACGGAAACACAGGGTAATCATCACAATGACAGTGATACAGACTGTGATACTGAGGATGGTGATAATTATCTCCCAAAACCACTGACTAGCCTTTTTGACCCAACAGCTCTCAATCTAACACCTGATGAACTGGAATCTTTTTCATTGAAACAGTATCAATATTATGAAGATAGCTATCCACAAAAGGCATACAATAATCTTTGAGACATTACTAAGTCACAGTGTCTTTCAAGTAACTGGATGCTACACAGGGCAGGGCGAATAACAGCATCAACCTGCTACCAAGTATCAAAATCAAGTGTGGATAAACCAAGCAAGAGTCTTCTAGACAGAATCATGCAATAGGAGCCCTGTTCCAGTAGCGACAACAAGTATACAAGATATGGTAAGAAGCATGAGTCTGCTGCAAGGGAATCGTACAAGAACATAATCTCAAAAACCCATGTGCTAGAGACTGGCTTTCATGTCAGAACTATCATGCCATATCTTGGGGCTTCACCAGATGGCCTTGTATCCTGCAGGTGCCTTCCTCAAAGAGTCCTTGAAATTAAATGCCCTTTTAAATACAAGCATGGCTTCAAATCATGGGGAAATGATAAAGATTTTCCTGTAACAAGTGAAAATCAAATGTAACAAGTGAAAATCAAATGAAGAAAAATCACAAATATTATCAAATCCAGTTACAAATGGTAATATGCAATGTAACCCATGGGGATTTCTTCATGTACACACCAAACAACTTGGAAGATTACATTCTAGTTGAGGTAGAGGTTGATGACACATTGGTCAATTTTCTTGTGAATGATTTATGGTCAAGATTCAAGAAAATTATCCTCCCAGAAATTGTTTCCAGAAAATCTGATAACATTGAAAATACCCGTCAATTTTACTGCAAATGTAGAAGACCTGCCTTTGGGCAGCTGATTCCTTGTGACAGTTCAAAGTGTAAAATTGAGTGGTATTATTATCCATGTGTCAATGTGACAATCTGTAACCTGCTGTAACAATCTGTTGCAGCAGGTAATACCACTTTCAATGGCATTAATTCATAGTCCCCCAAAGACACCATATGTCGCACTCTAATTCACTGTAAATTGAAGAAATACCTTAGGAGCAAAGCCATCAAAATTTGCAAAGTCAATTAGACAGCATATACTGCAAGTTTACAAAACATTATTATCTCCTGTATTTATTTACCCCCTGGCTTCATTTTTATAGTACTTTGTGTGATTTCCAAACAGCTTTGGGGGGGGGGGGGCAATGAGTTAAGGTATCTTTTCACAATATTCTTTCCATTCCTTAGAATAATCTATGATTGAATTTTGAAAAAGTTATCAATTTCATTGTAAGTGGCTTTCTCTATTGCTGCATCCCTAATCACTAAATAAAATATTTATCTGCTGACAACACTTTTGTTCAAATTTATGGCGCCACATAATATGGTCATGGCATCATCAATTAGGTCAATTTGTGAAATGGTATAATTGTCTGCAAGATTCTGTAATCCATCAGCCGTCCAATCACTCTTTCAACATGTATCCGTGCATGAGCAAGTTGTCTTGATTCATCTACTTCTTGGTGAATTGTGGGATCTTTAAAATAGCACCTCTTTCATTTAAGTCATCTTCAATCAAAAAAAAAAAAAAAAAAAAAAAATATCTGCCAAAATGCAGTCACCGACTGTAACTTTATTCTAAAATCCTTACTCTTGTGTTATTTGTTTATCTGAGACCCTGCCTCCCCAGCCTTGAGACAAAAACATAACAGCACCTACAGGACTAATACGTATTAGATATTTGCAGGTGTTGTTATGTTTGTAATCTGACCACGTTTGTGCTCAGGCTGTGAGATTTTTGGGCCGCTCTATAAATATTTCGCTGCAGTCAATGATACAGACACAATCTCTGAATTTCCTTGTAAAAGTATGTGACAAATTTTAGCAAATGGTTAATCTTTCAGGCCAAATAATCAGATTTCTCATGTAGCTAGATAATGCAGGCAGCCAGATTCTATAAACTTTTGACACAGTGGAGACTGGAACGTGAAATCATTCTGCCAAATCCATATTCAAAAGACCAAGTCGCAGCTTCATCAGCACTATCAGTACATGATCAAAGGTTGACAAAGATGAATGACAAGATTTCACGTTTCCATCAAACAAGTTACATATCCATTCAAACACATCCCTTGTTGGTAAACCTGTATAAAATTTTATTAGCTTGTCAGAAAACTTTATTTTGTTGAACCTAAATAAGTTTGCTTCATTTAACCTTTTTAGTCTATTTCATCATTTTTCTCTTTTACTTCTTTCTGCAGACTACTAATGATTTCTTTGTATCTAGCTGTTTCTATAAAAGAATCATCTTACTCAGCCTGGATTTCAGACGAAATGCTAGTTACACCTTGATCAGAAACTGTACACTGTACCGCCTCACTTTCAATATTTTCATTGAATCTGGCACGTTTTCTTTGCATAGTTTCATGGCGCTCAATTTTCTTTTTTACCAAATTCACTGCTTAATGGGTATCCAATCAACATTTTCAGAATCTTCTGACCTTTTACCTGGAATTAAAGAGAGAATGAAGATTTTAAAGGAACTTGAAAATATTTTAGATTTTTTTTTTTTTTTTTTTTTTTTTTTTTTTTTTTTTTTTTTTTTTTAAGGAAGGTTCAACTGCTCCTTTTACTCTTTGTCAATTTGCTGTAATATAAATTCTTATTTTTCTAACCCTGACCAGCGTAAGAACACCCCTGGAGCATTTTTGACAACATTTGTATTGCAAGTTGTAGCTTTTGCTTAAATAAACTTACTAAGGATGTGCATTTTCTCAATGCTTAGTCCCCAGGATTTTGCCAGAAAAAATTGCCTCACCCCCAGGCATGGCATTTATCATTTGAGTAAGAAAGCTTTCTTCACCCCTGAGCTGCCTTGGGGAAATGATTGGGGTAAGAATTGAACAAGGAGCAGTCAATAGCAAATGAAAACAAAACAGATATAGCCGTGGGAACCAGGGGCATGTGCCCCAAAATTTTGCAACAATGAAGTGCCTTTTCAAATTTCATGAGGAAGTGTCCAATGAAAAAGTGTCCTTGAAGTGTCGTGTCCCTCATTCCTACTCCAGGCCTGCAAGCGGCTTGAATTTAAAACGATTACAATGATCATTTATTCCCGACAGCAATAAGCTGTTTCAAAGAATTATTGAATGAAATCTCAAAACATTACAACTTGATACCTACCGAAGATGAGATGTTGCCCCCACACTTTTTGCTTTGAAATTTGATCTTCCGACCAAGCCTTTCAATCGTCTTATTTCAGTGCATGTATCCATTCAGCACGCCGTTTTCTTTCGATTGGAGTATTCTTTGATGGTATCTTGTAAAGCGGCAATGCTTCATTCTCCTTATTCCGTCTACTCGTGCAGTTTACGGCATAGCAACTGTCCGGCATATTCATAAATCTTTGTAACTCACAGAAGGCTAACACAGAAACGGGAATGTTTTGCCTGTCGTTGTGCCTGCGCATCATTAGTAGACAAAAACAATGAAATGGATCTATAATTGTGATAATCTATAGGTCTTATAAACAAGCTCGTCACTGTGCTTTATGCTGGGTCAACAGGGTCAGGAGAGGCCAGGGCACTAGTGTCACACTCGCGCCGCAGCTCAGTACTAACCGTGATCGTGCGTGGACGCCGGAACGGAATCATTTTGGAGAATTTATTAATTCTGCTAAAATCGTATTGAATTCCGTGTGAGTGTACGAGGTGAGACTGACAGGGGTTTGCACGACTTCGTATCCTCCAAGGAAGACATTGTGTCACTATTAAACTCGCCAGGAGACAAGTAACCACAACATGTTATAGTAACTCTATTAAAAGTATAGATAGATTCTATGTTTACATTTTGAGCGCTGAAATTTGCACATTTGCTGGCAGGCAAGATTCACTCTGGCAGACCACAAACAGTGCTGTGCCGTTGGTTGTAAGAATCGAAGAAAGTATGGTGGAAATTTAAGTTTTATCGAAATCTTTTTGGAAACAATGAACAGTCCCTTGCGTTACGAAAAAATGGATAGCTGCCGTCAGACGTGAGAACTGGAGCTCAAAGAAAATTGACAACGCACGCATTTGCACTGCTCATTTTATATAAGGCAAGTAAAAGGCATTCACCTATACAAGAGCGAATTAAATTTTCAGAATCAAGGTATTTCCAGTTCAATTTCGTCACTATTTGATCAAGTCGTCTCACTGAAAGTTACCCTCTCAAAAAATGTGAGTAAAACAATGAACACAAAAAATGCTGTAATTTTCTGTTCTGAATAAATGAATTATTGTTAGCAAAGTTTCGATAAATTAAAACAAAAAAGATTTACTGTACCTCAGACTCTTAATGAAACAGATATCACTGCTCTTGTTGATTCCATTGTAAAAAACGTCTTGAACATGCCCACAAAAAAAAAAAAAAAAAAAAAAAATGGCTTCCAGAGACTTGTATGCTTTAAGCGATTCATTCGAGAAAGAGCT